CTAACTCTTGGGCTACTCTTTTTGCCAACGAATAGTGGGATTGGCCGTCACATTATAACGCCCCCACGGCTGAAAGGGGCGAGCATGTTTGGTGTGACGGGGATTCGAACCCGCGACCCTCAGATTGTGAGCCAGTGCCCTAACCACCTGGCCATGCCGGGCGTTGTCCACCTTGGTTTATGTATGTTCAGAAGCATTTAGTTCTGTACCATTCTGTTTTGTTTGTTTGCTTTTTGTCGTATACAAGACGGTTGGTACGTATAATACTAGTTTAGGTTAGACATGCAAATGAACTGTTCTAAGAAACCCATTTACAGCACAAGAACTTGTACTGAATTTTTGTATCTGGTCTAGTAAGATTTTTTGAAACACCTGTATTTTTTAATTTTGCTTTTTAACCATCAGTAGTGTGAAAGATATATTTTATTGATTAGTTTCAATAATACTTATGTTTTCCTATTCTAGATCTGTCAGAACATCCTAGACGAAGGATGGGTTGTTCATAGGCCTTATCCAGAGATGCTTGGACCTTACGCTTACAAGGATGACCAGTGGGTTTGCTTTGATGATGAAAAAATGGTTGTTGAAAAGGTAAATCAGACAAAACGTGTTTGTGTACCTGGTACCACAATACAAGCATATAATTCATTACCATATCTTTATATTAATCGACATAATGGAATTGAAGCTGTTTTTCAGTTTGGGCATCTGGAAGTTTCGTGATCTTTGATGTACTGAAAATCTTAATATCACTTCACCTTTACAAGCCCATTATTGGTTTCTGCACAATACAGGGTGTCCGAAAATTCTGGAACAATAGCTACTTCAACGAATTTTTTACAGAATGAGTTCCCCATGCTGTCCCTCTAATTCGAAACAAGTTTGGATTAACGGCAGGATTAACTCGACCTTCTTATAATTTGACAACGTCATAATCAGTCACGTCTCTGGAATTAAGAAAAGCTACAAATCACCTATGTTTCCATACTTTTCGGACATCCTGTATTTGAGTTTTTTATGGAGTCACTTACGAAATGTTAAACTATATGGTGAAATAACTTTGAAGTTAGCCAATACATCCACGTGAAGATAATATTAATTATCTCTCACTCCAGTCTCAACTAGTCCATGACATTATTAAAACACTAGCTTGGCAGATTGTTAGCAAGTAAAATTTACGACATTAGAGAACGATAAAAAAATCCAGTTATGTGTACTTATATAAATTTAAGTAATTTCTTTCTCTAAATATGTAAATATTTTAGCTGGTTAAGCTACAAAAACTACTGGTAAACAGTGTCACATCAATTTAATGTTGTTTGAAGTCAATAACCATTTGTGTTGACCAAAATGATATTCTGTTTCAGGCTAAGTTCATTTTAAAACGGGGACTAGGGGGCGCTATGGTGTGGACTCTTGACACCGATGACTTCCGTGGTCTTTGTGGCAAGGAGCAAAATCCCTTAGTAAATACTCTTCGGAAAGTTTTGTTTTCCAACACCATAGAAGGTTTTTCCAGACTATATGACACTGATGACCATGACCGAGTTTACAGTCCCTCAGTAGAAGGTGATAAGAAGAGACCTAGTAGAACACACCGTCGACGACGTCCAGGATTCCGTAGAGTAGTGAGGCCTCGCACGACAACTGAATCTCAAATTATTAAAGATCTTATTTCAACACCAGCTCCACCCCCTACTCCTGATCCAGATCCATCCTTTACCTGCCCAGGTGAAGGATTCTTTAGAAATACACGTGATTGTCGAAAGTATTTCTGGTGTTTAGACAGCGGTCCTGCAGCACTGGGATTGGTTCCTCATGCTTTCACTTGTCCTTCTGGTCTTTATTTCCATACAAAAATGGAGGCTTGTGATTATCCAGAAAATGTAAACTGCAATAACCTTCCTGTGGCCCAGACCACGCCATCCCCGAGGCCAACTAGACGTCTCAAACTTCAACCACCCACTACAACCACAGAACTGTCTAGAGAGGTTGAGAAGACAGTTAAAAATACCTTGAATACGTACCCCTCTGACAAGACTAACTTATCTAACAGTGAAACCCTTTCAAATCTTTTACACTTAATTCAGTCCTTAGGGGGGTTGGACCAACTAAAAAATATTTTTGGAACAGAAGTTGATGTCAGTTCAGCACTAGAGAAATTTGATAGAGAGGACGGCCAATCACCACGACTTCAAACCCTACCAGACTATGTAACTCCTAAAAGAGCTGTCACAGAATACCAGTCATCACGATTTCAAACCCTACCAGACTATGTAACTCCCAAATCAGCTGTCACAGAAAACCAGTCATCACGATTTCAAACCCTACCAGACTATGTAACTCCCAAAAGAGCTGTCACAGAAAACCAATCACCACGACTTCAAACCTTACCAGACTATGTAACTCCCAAAAGAGCTGTTTCAGAACACCAATCATCACGACTTCAAACCCTACCAGACTATGTAACTCCCAAAAGATCTCCCACAGAAAAACAATCACTACGACATCAAACCCTATCAGATTATGTAACTCCTAAAGGAGCTGTCTCAGAATACCAATCACCACGATTCCAAACCCTACCAGACTATGTAACTCCCAAAAGAGCTGTCACAGAAAACCAATCACCACGAGTTCAGAAAATCCCAGACGATGTATCTCCCCAAAAAGCTGTCAGTCAAGACGAAGCAACACAAGTTCAGAAGCTACTAGACTTTGTAGCTCTCCAAAGAGCTGTCATAGAGTACCAACTCCAACAACTTAAGAAACTACCAGACTATATATCTCTACAAAGAAATGTGACAGAAGACCAATTACCACAACTTCACAAATTTTCAGACTATGTAGCTCCTCAAAAAGCTATCACAGAAGACCAAACACGACGACGTTTAAAAATACCAGACCATGTAGCTTCTCAACGAATTGCCTCAGAAGGCCAATCATCACAACTTCAGCGACTACCAGACTACATAGATCCTCAAAGAGCTTTAACAGAAGATCAATTGCCACGACGTAAGAAACAAACAGACCACGTATCTTCTCAAAGAACAGCCACAGAAGACCAATCATCAGAACTTCAGAAACAACCACACCATCCAGCTCGTCAAAGAACTGTCCCAGAAGACCAATCGTTACAACACCAGAAATTACCAGACTATGTGAATCGTCAAAGAGCAGTCACAGAAGGCCAGTCACCTCAGTTTCGTAAACTACAAGACAATCTTTCTTCCCAGAGAAGAGCCACAGAAGGCCAATCATCACAATTTCAGAAGCTACCAGACTACATAGCTCCCCAAAGAGTTGTCACAGAAGATCAATTGCCACGACTTCAGAAACTACCAAACCATCCAGCTCCTCAAAGAACTGTCACAGAAGACCAATCACCACAACGCCGTAAATTACCAGCAACTCTTTGGGAAGCTGTGTAGTCTGGTAGCTTCTGAAGTTGTGATGATTGACCTTCTGTGGCTCTTCTCTGGGAAGATAGGTTGTTTTGTAGTTTGCCAATCTGTGATGATTGGCCTTCTGTGGCTGTTCTTTGACGATTCACATAGTTCACAGAAGATCAATTGCCACAACTTAAGAAACTACCAAAACATCCAACTCCTCAAAGAACTGTCACAGAAGACCAGTCACCACAACTTCAGAAGTTACCAGATTATGTGCATTCTCAAAGAACAGCCACAGAAGGACAATTACCACAGATAGAGAAACTACAAGACAGAGTATCTTCCCAAGGAATTGCCACAGAAAGCCAATCATCACAACCTCAGAAACTACCAGACTATGTAGCTTCCAAAAGAGTTGTCACAGAAGACGAATCGCCACGACTTAAGAAACTACCAAACCATCTAGCTTCTCAAAGAACTACCACAGAAGTCCGATCATCAAAACTTCAGAAATTACCAGACTATGTGAATTCTCAAAGAACAGCCACAGAAAGAAAATCACCAAAGGTAGAGAAACTACAAGATAATGTATCTCCCCAAAGAACTGTCAGAAAAGGTCAATCAGCAAGGCTTCGGAAACTATCAGACCATGTAGATTCCCAAAGAACTACCACAGAAGATCAATCACCACAGCTTCAGAAACTATCAGAATATGTAGTCTCACAAAGAATTTCCACAGAAGACCAATCATCACAACTTCAGAAATTACCAGACTATGTACTTCCTCCCCAAAAAGCCATAGAAGCCCCATTACCACAGATAAAAAACCCACAAGACAACATATCTCCTCAAAGAGCTCTTCCAGAAGATCAGTCACCACGTTTTCAGAAACTACCAAACAATGTATCTCCCTACAGAAATGCCACAGAAGAACAACCTCCAAAACTACAAAAAATATCTGACTATGTAGCACCTAAAAGGGCGATCAGTACCGAAAATTCTACACCTCCAGTAACAGAAATATCTACTATTCCAACTACATCACCTCTGAGAACATCTGCTTTGCCATACTATCGCATTCCATACTCTCCAGTACCTTATAGACCAGCAACATTGAAACCATCAGAGAGGATAGACTACCGACCAATAGATCAGTTAACCAGCAGAGTGTCTCGTCATTTTCAATATGAGCCACTAGAACATTCTGACAGTCTTGTTGAGTACGTGGAACCCACCCAACAGAGACTGGAGGATGCTAAGAATCATCATCAAAATGAAAAGAAAGTTGATTTTTCCTCTGTCTATCAAGCTTCCATCAAAAGTACAGAATCAGAAGATACAGAACCACCTACAACCCAAGCTACCTCTCCAACACAGGAGTTATACTCTGACGTTAGTTCCCAAGTAATATATGAAACCCCCAATGATAACCAAACTTTAGCTACTCCAGAAGACCTGAATTTGACCACCACCACAGAATTTCCGGTTTCTTTTACGCCTAGGTCAGATGGTGGACCTAGAGTTTATCGGATTCCAGTCCAAGTTCGTGATGGTAAAGTTGTCCGTGTCCATGGACATATTGGTCGAGGAAGGAGAACAAGAATCCGTGTCCGACCTAAAGCAGCTGATGGACAAGCACGAAACTCTAACATCCCAAATGAAAATTCTTTTCGTAAACGAAAACGTAAACGAAGGCTTGGGGTCCGCCGGCGACCTCTGCTTACCAGCAATTATGAAGATGCTGAATCTGCAGAAGTTGTCCGTTTTGGAGCAAAACAAATATTTACAAGAGAGGAAAAAGATAAAAAAAGATATGACTACATAATAGCCCCAGATAATCATCGAGCTGGAGCATTTAGAGAAACGAAAATTCATATCTCAACCACTGAGGAGCCCACAACCTCAATATTAACGACGAATCGGGCTCCGATAATTAGAAGAAAAATTATCCGTCAATACAGATTACCTCTTTACCAACCACCACTACCAGAAGTAAACAAATTTGAAATTATAACTGAACGACCCCCGGAAGTGTCAGATAACACTCAACCAGATACGGGACAAGCCAGTTCCCAGGTTCCAAGAACCAAGCAAACACAGCTTCATTCTACTTTTTCCCCACCACCCAGGTCAACGACTGCACTATCAACCCTCACGACCACAACAAAGAGACCAACCACTCAACGTAGAACTACGACCACAACATCACTCGAGCAAGATGGACAACTACTAAACGTCAGTGGAGACGACTTTGAATGTCTACAACGTGGCGTGTTCCGTCATCCACACGACTGCGGCGTGTTCCTGTTTTGCGTGCCAGACGATTCAGAAAATGGCTTTCGCAAGATCGTACACAACTGTCCAGATGGGCGCATCTATATGGAAGAAATCGGGCGGTGTATCGTTGGTGACAGGGCTACTTGTGAAAGTCTCGAATAGGTTACAACTACGTAATCTTTGTGTTTGGAATATTCAGAGCAAATCATAATCACTTTTATATGTTTACAATTTTTCTGTTCAATTCCATATAACATAACCTCTATTCGAACTCTTCCGAAATGTGTGCTTTGTGAGCAAGGCAACATTGTTGTGTTCACTTAAAGCAATCTTACAAATGAAGGAAAATTCCGCATTACTTCTGCTTTGTGAGCAAGGCAACATTGTTGTGTTCACTTAAAGCAACCTTACAAATGAAGGAAAATTCCACATTACTTCTGCTTTGTGAGCAAGGCAACATTGTTGTGTTCACTTAAAGCAACCTTATAAATGAAGGAACATACCGCATACTTCTGCTTTGTGAGCAAGGCAACATTGTTATGTTCACTTAAAGCAACCTTACAAATGAAGCAACATTCCGCATACTACTGTTCATGCAATAAATATTTTGCATGCGTATATATGTAAAATCGAGAATCAGAAAAAATTCTAACCGCTAAATGCTGATACATTCTGTAAATAAGTGGTCCTGACACCTTTTTTTTATGTTTTTGGACCACTTGATTTTTTTGTTTTATCTTGGCGGACCACAATAGAATCTATTACATGATGTTGCCGCTTTGTTTCCATAATCATACAGCCTTTCCATGGACCATCTAAAGAAAACTTGTGGACTACAGATTGAAAACTCCTGCTCTAAACCATACCACATTTGTAGATTTCTGTTAAGAAGTCGAATCAGTAACAATGCTGCAACATCCCTATAAATGCCAGTGAGTAAATTACTAACACCTGTTATATCATCGTAAAGCCAGAATTTTGCTTTTTTTATCGTGCTACAGGCAAGTTATCTAGAAGATAAAATATTTTGATGTATATATATATAATACCAATGACAAAATAACAGTTTCTACACTGAAACCTCTCAATAAAAGCTTAAGTTGTATAAATTTTCACTCGGTGTTGTGTGTTTTAATGTGGTTGAACATAAATTAACAAATTAAGTATATTTTCAAAACCAATTAAATTTATTGTGCTGTTGCTGTTGTTTTTTTCTGGACCTTACACAATATATACCCTCCTTCTAGGTTGCCACAATATAAACCCTCCTTCTAGGTTGCCACAATATAAATAAACTATATACACTCCTTCTAGTTTGCTACAATATAAGACCTCCTTCTAGGTTACAACAACATAAACCCTCCTTCTAGGTTGCTGTTTCTCGACTTATGCATGTTGCTGTATAATTGTATAACATCAAGTCAAAATAACTAGTCTAATTAGTTGTATTTAAAGTACACTTTAACTACTGAAATACCTAATAATAATAATACACTGACTCATGAAGATAGAATTTGCTGGAAAAATGAAAACTGACGGTCGAGTTCGAATACCGTCTGTTCTTGGTTTTCACTTCCTAAAAAAAAACTAAAGGTGTATAAAATTATGAAACCATTACTAAACACAATGTTTCACTTTATTTAAACTTGGCATGTTAAACATTAGATACATTTAACGATATTCAAGCCAAGCACAATTATTACATTAATGTATTTTCTCAAGGGGTCTGGAAAAGTTGCTGACATACGTACATTTCGAAGGATTGGGGTAGATTGATATTTGACCTGGTGTGAAACATAATCGCATTATTGTTCCAGAGGCACTAAAGCCAAAAAATGGTTATTTTGCTTGGTTTGAGTCTCTTCTGCGGTGCTTATGCACATGATTGGATAAAACAAATAAAATAACTTAAAATCAGACGTAGAGTGTCTTCATCTTTTGGACAAAAAAACGAATTTATACACTACATTTCAGGGTCATAGGTCTAAGTCACACAGTTTAAAACTGCCTGGTTTAGACCTATGACCGAAACGTTATAAACATATAACAAACATTCATCAATAATGGATATAGTAATACCACATTCGACAAGACACTTCAACG